AAAAAAGACCCCCAACAACAACAACAACAACAACAACAACAACAACAACAACAACAACAACAACAACAACTCGACAATTAACAGCGACAACAACAGCGACAACAACAACGACAACAACAATAACAACTAAAAGTTCGCTAAACTCTTGTCTTTTCTCCTCGAACAGAAAATAGAAACCTAAATTCAATATGTTGCGACATACTGGTATTGTTGCATTGGAACCAGAAAGAAAGAATGTGAAAAATCAAACAAAAGTAAATATAATGTGAGATAAGTAGGTGGCGTCGGTGGCCTAGTGGATAGGCTGTCGGACTCGTAATTGTGAGGTTGCGGTTTCGGGGGTTCGAGCCGCAGGCCCGACTTTGTGTCCTTGGGAAAGGCACTTTACTATTTTACACGAACTTTCCTCACTTCATCCAGGTGGGAATGGATACTCGGCCATACACAGCGATAGATCATGTCAGTATGTTAGTATTTTAGCGCTTATAAATGACCGCTTGCACTGTATGCTTCCGAGCTCTCAGGTCTGTTGGGGGTAAAAGTATAGATTGTGAACCGCATAGAGCTTGCTGTTGAGCGGGGATTTGCGCTATACAAATGCTTTCTATTATTATCATTATTGTGCACACGTCAGTCACTCATAACAGAAATTTCCTTAGCATGTGCTACAGCAAAATCCCTGGATATCTCACAGACCTCATCCCTCCTCCTGATGTTTGCTTACTTTTTCTACGAGACACACACACACACAGCGGTGTAATAATGTTTGAGCAACGAGGAGTGACGGTCACTTCCGAAAATTAGATGGCATAATGGTCACGTAGATAATATTTAAACACTGAACGAAGCCATTTATTCAAAGCTAACAGCGCAGGGGGCACTTCAATGTTTGAGCTGTTAACCCTTTTCTGCCGGCACCTAAGACCGTCCGAAGCTCTTTGGTAGGACTGTAAAAAGGATACGGCAGTGATGGGGTTAATGACGTTGCTTACTTAAAGCAGATGACGTCAAAACTATTGAGTAAACAATGACTAATCGCTATTGTAGAATTACAAACTTTTATCCGACATTTTTGCCCGTTTTGAATAACTATGGCCATGAGGTCAGGAACCAAAATTATTTATGTTCTACCTGCTCTATCAAAATTGTAAGATTATTTGGAGTCGTAATCAAGACATTCAAATATTTGCATTCGAAAACGCTTGACGCGTTGTGAAATTCCAACTTTTTCACGTCAAATTTCCCAAAACTACGCGGTATGCAGATAGAAGTTTGTAATTCTAGGATAGCGAGCGTAATGTTTACTTACCTAAACCGGATGGCGTGAGGATCAGTTCGGAGCCCGGCAGATACATTGGGTTGTCGTAGCCAAAATGGCCGCCATTACCCACAGAAAAGCCTCCGTTTCCTGTGAAGTAGGCGTCTGGTTCTTGATAAGGATGTGCGATGGTGGACACTCGCTGTCCATCAGTGAACGATGGGGAAACTCTCGGCACTACTAGAGTGATATCTCCTTCAGCTGGCACGACTGCGGGTGAGTTCGTAGCGAGTCTATTGGCCGAAGAAAGACTAGCGGAGCTGCGAGATTTGTGCAGGGATCTCGCGCTCGCTGGCCTTGGTAATCCTGTCGTGTGCCTCCCTGTTGCGGGCACATTAAGATTCCCGCTTCTTTGGGAGTGAGAAGACAGGCTAGCGGAGCTGCAGGATTTGTGTAAGGATTTCGAGCTGGCTGGAATAGGTAAGCCTGTGGTGTATCTCCCTCCTGTGGTTGGCACGGGATTCCCGTTTCCGCGTGAGTCATTCATTGGGGAGGAGTTTATGTCAAATTTCGCCCGTTGAGGCATTCTTCTGGCGGGTGAGTGGGTGGGTGGTTTAACTTGTCGATGGGTGTTGTTTGGTGGGTGTAGATGAGTGGGTTGACAGGGAAGTTGGAGGACAATCTGAGTGGTTGAGTCGAAGTGTGGGTGTGGCTTGTTTCAGTGGATTGAGTGGGTGGGTGGGTGGGAGTGATGAGTGGGTGTGGGTTGGTAGTGGTTGTGGATGGGTGGGTGTAGTTGGTGATTAAGTGGATCAGTAGTTCTGTTGGTTTTTTGGTTGAGTCGGAGGGAGGGTGGAACGGTGAAAGCTACTGTAAAATTATGCTGTTCGCAGCTCCCCAAGACGTGGCCAGAGTTAGCACAACAGAGGACAAGCAGAGCGACACCTTCCCTCCACACAAGATACTGTCTTTTGTCTTGATGTTCCCGTACAATGAAAGGTCATGTGACTCAGGGAGTTAGGACGTCACTGTAGGCGTGACGGTCATTTCACCAGAAGGAAAAAGCGGGATGCTCTAAAAATAAAAAAACAAATAAAACAAATGATTATGCCAGGTTATATACAAAAAAATCACTCACTAGCACGCTCACAAACAAACAAACGAACAAACGAACAAACAAACAAAAGTACACATATATACACACATATACACACACATATGCTTATAGGTATAGATGCAGGTATAGATGCATATAATATATAGATGCATATGGAAGGATAGAGTGGCGTCGATAGTCTAGTGGTTAGGCTACCGAGCTCGTAATCGTGAGATTGCGGGTAGGGGGTTCGAACCTGAGCTTGGTCCGACGTTGTGTCCTTGGGAAAGGCACTTAACACCAATTTCCCACTTGGCTCGGTCCTTTCGGAGATGGACGTTAAACTCGGAGGACGCCTCTTAAATAACCTATACCAATTTCAGATAGATAGATAGACAGATAGATAGATAGATAGATAGCTAGATAGATAGATAGATAAATAGATAGATAGAGAGGGAAGAGCAAAGAGATGAAAAGGATTAGGAGGAGACTGAGCAAACAAACCTCTTCTCAGAAAAAAAGCTTTCAGCAGAAAACCTTCCTTCATAATGATATCCCACACAGAGAACATTACTTTTTCACAGATTTACGCTGATTTGATTTTTCAAATACAGTCAAACCTGCTCTAACGACCACCTGTCCAAAACACTCACCTGTATAAACGACCACTTTCCAAATCCCCCTAGCATTAAAAAAGTAAATTATTGTGACACTATCCAATAGGACCACTTGTCTATGATGACCACTTTTCTCCTCGACAATGGGCGGTCATCTTGGACAGGTTAGACTGTATTTATGTCTGATGTTAAGAAACAGGACGTCGAAAATCTATCTAAAGAATAGACAATCTCTACTTCAATACAAATAATCTGCGCGCTAGCACGATGCTCCGTAACATTCTACCGTCGCTGGAGATATGCCTGTGCGCTTGCATCAGAACTCTCCTTCTCTACTTTCACAACCTCCGCAACAACTTTTAAGGTGACGTCACACTTGAGAGAGTCCACGACCGGAGACACATACACAAAGCGATGAGTCACAGTTTAGTGCAGAAAGTGATAGCACTCTCTGGTGAAAGTCTCATGTTGCAAAAACCTGGAATTGTGTTCCGCTTTCACATGTCTCGGGGAAAGTTCGCAGCCCCGTAGACGTTTAAAAAAAAGCATGGACATAGTACGATTACATACATTGTCGAATTTGATATTTCACGCATTACATAATAACTACTACACGTTGCATAACTGGAGACTACAGGGGATGGGAGGGGAGGGGAAGTGGGGTGTTCTTTTCGTTGCATAATCCAAAACATGCCACGAATAGAATATGGCTTACATTTCCGGCGTTTTTCATGATCACATTGAGGTGAGAAAAGAGAGGAGTGATTGGAGGAGACAAAGATGGAGGTATACAGAGGTGAGAGAAGTGAGGAGTGATTGGAGGAGACACAGACGGAGATGACGTCAGACTTGATGGATCTACTAGGTCAGAAATCGGAAACAGGATGACGTGTCCTCTAGAGGGGTAAGACGAGTAGGCGTGGATCCCCTCAACCCCCCCCTCCCGCTTGTCCCCACCCCTCTAAAAAAAATCCCCTCATCTGTTTTATTTGAATCATAAGGTGTTTGAAAAAATTAACACGAAATCGAAGACAGTCTTTGACAAGTCTTGTTTTTCCTGCTGATTTTCTTTTGGAGTGGGGGAAGTTGGCCTTTTGGGGGAAGGGTGGTGTGAGTGCGCGTGCGCTTGTGTGTGTGTGTGTGTGTGTGTGTGTGTGTGTGTGTGTGTGTGTGTGTGTGTGTGTATGAGTGTATGTGTGAGTGTATGTGTGAGTGTATATGTGTGTATGTATATGTCTACGCATATATGTGAGTGTATGTATGTGCAAGTTTGTGCATGTGTGTGTGTGTGTGTGTGTGTGTGTGTGTGTGTGTGTGTGTGTGTGTGTGTGTGTGTGTTTGGAGAACGGGGTGGGTTTTGAGGTGGGGATAACTATGGGTGTTTCAAGGAGGAAAGTTGAAGGTGCTGAGAAATTTGATGCCTCCCAAAGCAGACAGCAGAGAGTTCACGATATCCAACATGATGGGAGCTGAGCCATGAGACACCTAAATCGTGTCGAACGCATATTAAAAAACCCCCAGAACTTTTAGTTCAGTAAAGAGTTTTACGGCACTTGCAACACAATAAGGTCATATAAGTGCCGAATATTAGAGGTGTTACAAGAGAGTAACAACAAACGTAAAAAAGAAGGAGGAGAGATAAGGACGATAGATGTTTAAGAGGAAAGAAGGAGCAAACCACACCAGAGCACCCGCCAACCACCCACCCCAGAACTTTAAAGACGGCTGGTGGGCGGAGGTATGTCAAGGTGACCGTTCAGTTATGAAATACAATGATGGGACACACTGTTCACTGAAACAAAGACCTGCATTTTTAACGTCTTGTACTCTTTATATCTCCCATTTCTTCTGTCTCTTCCATTCTTTCTTTCTTTCTCCCTTTCCTTCTTATTTAAATCTCCCCCCCCCCCCTCTCTCTCCCTCTCTCCCTGTCTCTACCATACGCACATACTCTCTGTCAGTCTTTCTATCCCCATCCCCCCCTCTCTCTCTCACTCACTCTCTCTGTCTCTCCCACACCCACGCTCTGTCAGTCTTTCTCCCCCCCTCTCTCGCTCTCTCTCTCTCTCTCTCTCTCTCTCTCTCTCTCTCTCTCTCTCTCTCTCTCTCTCTTTTTCTCTAAAATTTCATTTCCTAATTAATATATATCCCACTTTCTATATCTCAGGGGACGTGTTCCTTTGACCTTGTCTGTGAAGGACAGCCTTGACTAACAGACTTACATCCCAGCTGAAAAAGGAGACGAGTAGACAGAGCACTTTTTGGAATAGGGATTTGAACCACGGCCTTTGTGTACAAGCCAAAATGCGCAACCTTTACTTTGCGCCACGGATTCAAGGGATAAATCCCAAGCATCTCTTATCGGATATGGGTTCTAATTTAAAGGGAATATTTTGGAAATGGATTAAATTATCTTGAAAGTAGTAATTCAGTCGTAGCCTTCAGTACGAACGTACCTGCAGCCTGTCTCCTTATTTTAATTACTTCATGGAACTTGAGAGTGATTTCAACAGGTTATTTTTTGTTTGACGTTCGGCGAACTCGATATGTTACAGAGCCTTGTGTTCTATTTTTTTAGTGACAACAACACCCATCAACTCCCGTAAAACAATAATAAAAGAAAGACAAAAGAAACACAAACAAAATTTAAAAAACAAACAAACAAAACCAACAAAACAAAACAAACAAACAACAACAAACAAAAAAGAGAGAACAAAAATATTACCCTAAACTTTCACAACTCCAGGTCAGACAAGATTTGACCTGACACCATCGATGTATGGTGACATTCCACAGCGTCTAATATTACCCAATAACAATAACTCTGCAGTCAAAGACAGACGCCCTCCCAGGCGTGTCACTTGACAACGGACAAACGATGCCAGAGGTGACTTTGAGGGGAAGAAGCTTCTGACTTTCAAAAAATATTTTCTTTTCCCCCTTCTTTTTCTTTCTTCCCATCTTACCCATGGAGACTGGCGTTTATGGTGTCACGGTTGGGCTTTTTGACGTGACACGCACAAAATGTGAGTTCATTATATCCGCGTGGGCCATAGACATGTATCATATTATAGTTATAGTAGTATCACAGACTGTGCTCTCCGATTCACCATGGGGCGCTCCAGATGACTCCATTTGGAAACAATTTAATAAAGGGCAAGGATGGTAAAGTCGGCTCAGGCGACTTTGATTTTTGAGTTTATAATATAATATAAATACTGCCTGTTGGCCAGGGTGTTCTACTCCTCTCAGTTTGGGTCCAATCCACCAGCTTCCAAGAGCCGACCTAGTGATAATCTTCAAACTCAGAATAGGACACAACAGGCTGAAGCATCACATGTTGTCCCGATTCAAGATCGGTATGGACCCAACTGTCCTTGCAGTGCTAGTCGCCAAGTTGCACAGCACATTCTCTAGGACTTCCTACTACTGGATGCGGCAAGACAAAAATACTGGCCTCAGCCCTGGGACAAGCACCAGACGTTGTATGGCAGCCCTCTCGACCTGAGAATAACTTTCGGCCCTCGCCATCTAATCTACTATGAAGAACGCTGAAGAAGAAGAAGAAGAAGAAGAAGAAGAAGAAGAAGAAGAAGAAGAAGAAGAAAAAGAAGAAGAAGAAGAAGAAGAAGAAGAAGAAGAAGAATAGAGTGCATACCCACGCTACACAGCTTAGTTTAGTTTAAGTAAGGTTTTACGGCGCTCGCCACTGCATAAGGTCATATGAGCGCCAAGGGGTGGATGTCAACAGAGAGGTCCAAACGGAGAATCAGGTTTTCTCTGCTCACCTCTCTAACCTCGCAACAACACAACGTCTGCTTCGACTATCAAGGCACCCAGGAAATAGCAGTTCACAAGAGAGTAACAAACATACAAAAGAAGTAGAGAAAAATGACGAAGGCAAAAGTATGAGGAAAAAAGAAGCAGCAGTTCCCCCTATGTGGTTCCGGCACGGTATGAGCATGACATTGATAAATCAGCCCATTTACAATACTGTGCATAGCAACAGGTTAATATCCTCCCTTTGGGAATAGCACAAAGACACTTCAGTCAGTAGTGCTGCCCTGGTTTGGGGGAGGGGGGGGGGGGGCGACAAAGCCTGCTCTGTGCCCGTTGCAAAGTTTATATAACAAACTGACAAGATCTTTTGTTTTCTGAAGTCGGTTACTCATTCCCACCAGGGTAAAGTAGGCAAATTTCGTGTTAAGTACATGTGCCAAGAACAACTCGTGCCCCTGAAGAAATTAAGTTGAAGAGTTTTTGTGCTTCTATCAACGCAATTCAATTCACTTAGAAAAAAAGAGGGAGGGGTGTGGCTGTTTTGACCCTGACTGTCAGGGTCAACCCAAACCTCTTTTCTT